TTAACTACACAATGCCTTCTTTATAAAAGCTTTATTGACATGTTTTGTTTCTACATTATGAACACATACTGTTTACCAACACTGTGGGAGAGGTACGTTGTAAAAAAAAAGGAAAACAATTAAGTAAAAATATAGTGAACTCATCTGAAAAGGCATATACAATTCTACCTCTATAGCACTCTCCAGCTCCTTGAGAAATCTATTTTCTTTCCCTCCCACTCACCATCTCTTTGAAAAGAAAAAAAAAAGAAAAAAGTCCTTGTAATAAATATGCATAGTCAAGTAAAACAAATCTCACTTTGGCTACATACAAAAAATATAAATACATATGGATCATTCTGAGCCATAAAGCCATCATCTCACAGTAATAGAAAATGTATTTCATCATTGGTCTTCTGGAATCATATGTGATTGTTGTATTGATAATAGTCTTACACCTTTCAAATTATTTGTCTTTACATTGTTCCTACTGTATAAACTGTTCTCCTGGTTCTGTTTATTTAACTCTGCATCAATTATATCTTTACATATGTCTTTGAAATTATCAGTTTCATTTCTTCAAACACAATAGTATTCCATTACATTTATATAAATCAACTTATTCAGCCATTTCTCATTGGTAGACATCCTGTAGTTTCCAGTTTTTAGTTACCTCAAAAAGCACTGATATAAATATTTTCATACATTTATGTCCTTTTCCTTTTATCTGATCTCTTTTGGGCATGGGCCTAGCAGTCATTTAGCTGAGTCAAAAAGGTTTGCACTGCTTAGTAAACATTTGTGTATAATTCCAAATTTCTTTCCAAAATGGTTATGCCCATTCACAATTCCATCAACACTGAATTAAAATGGCTGCTTTCTCCCAGACCTTCCAACATTTTTCATTTTACTTTTTGGTCATCTTTGACAATCTGATAGGTGTGTGGTACATCAGAATTGCTTTAATTTGCATTTCTCTATTTAGTAGTGATTAAATCACTTTTCTACCCCACATCTCTTTGGATAGACTGGGATAAACCACTTTCCTTAACCAATTTGCTTTCTATTCAGAAAGTCAGCATTTTTATTTTTATTTAGCTCACATTCATGTCAGGTTATTCTGGACTTAGGTTATTTTGTATTTTAAGTTCTTAAGAAGTCAAATAGTATTTCTTTTCTTTTGAATCTCCCTTTACAAAATAACTCTTTATATAAAATATGTTCAGCATTTGTATTGACAGAACTGCTTGTTCATTAGTATTAACTTAGCATGTTAATTCCTCAGGAGAAGAGTGTGGAATTATTTAGGAATTTTTAAATAACTGAGGTGCTCAAAGTTGCAGTGTTATACATTATAAAATTTTAAGTGATTAACTTAGCTCCTTGTTTCTATAATTCATTTTCCAGAGATTCCAGATAATAACACTGAATTCCATAACCTTAGTATAACTAAACAAGGAAAGATAAGTTCTGAAACCAAGTCCACATCAGTTTTTAAATGTAAAATCTCACCACTAAATTTTCTACATAAAATGTTAAGAAAATTATATTATAAATTCCCATTAAAATAAATTCCCAAATATATGTTCATCTCAGTGAAAAAGGAATAATTTACTTAGCTCTCTGCATTGCTAAGATGAAACCATACCCAATAGACTATGCAGTCTATAGTTGTCCTAATCTTTTTCTTGTCTCCTGGTTCCAAAGAGCTATTATTATAAAGTGATATTCAAGCGGCTAGCTTTGATCTTCTTCCTTAGGGATGTAAGCTGAACTGCCTCCCTGTCCTAATAAACTTTTTTTTTAATTACAGCATATAGTATTTTGCTTCATATAATAAGAAGGCATTTTTAAACAAGATTAATTTGAATATCTCAGAAGTGTACGCTGAAGCATTAAATGGGATGAATGGGAAAACCTACCAAAAATGTTTAGTTTCTTATACAAGGAACTCAACCGAGGGGATATAATTTTTAAAAATCACCTCAAAATATTGAAAATTCACTCATTTGAATCCAACTATCAATGCTTTTAGAAGTTGACCTTAAAAATGTTATATCTGGTTGAAAAATAAATAGGCTGGTTACAACAGGGTGTTTTTAACTGCTGTTTCCTAGGGGGTAATGTAAAACCAGAAACAGCAACTGTGAGGATAGTATTTAAAGCTTTGAGATTTCTAGCAAGCAATAAGCAGGTTTAGATTAGGTAAGACTTCTTAAGTAAACCATGCCTTCAAATATAAACTATGTTGTTTTAGGTTGTCTTCTATGTTATTTGTGAAAAAATTTGGGTTCTTGTGGAGCATGTGCATTTGAAGGGAGATCTTTAAGGACTGTTCTCTGTGTCCATGAAAGGCCAAACCATAGGAAAATTAATCCAGGAGAGATTCTAATCATATATAAGAATGACTTCCTGCCTGTCAGAGTACTAAAACATGGAAAGAGAGTTGAATTTTGTTTAGAAATGTACCCTGCTTAAAGACAAAATGGATGACTTTGATCCTTTCAATGTCTAGACTTTTCCTGGACCTTATCTCTTCATGCTTTTCTCCAAAGCAATTTTCAGTGTCTTAGTTGGGCTAAATGAGAGGTACTATAGCTAACCTCTCTCCTAGAGAGTATCTATATTTTAGAGGCTAGAGAATGTTTGAAGTAGGCCCCATGGTCTTCAAATTTTCTTGGTACGATTTGTAGTTTAATGTCCAGGAGCAGACACTATCTAATATGTCTATGTACAAGTGAAATCCACTACATAGAGCTAAAGATTGCCAAAGGAAGACATGGTGCACTTTGCAGGGAGAATATTTTGTACTTTTTTAAGGTATATTTACTGCTTAAAGGAGAAGGCTCTTTGCAAGTGTTTCTTGACTATGTATATCATGTACAATTCCTTCCTCTTTCATCTATTTCAGTCCTACCTGCCCATCAAAGCCCAAGTGAAGGGCTAATTTCTTCTCTTAACAAATCATGCCATTATGATCTGTCTGCCCTCTGAAATTCTGTAACATTCACTGGTTATTTGCCCTCATTTTGTACTTACATAGGAATAGTGAATTGACCTATTGTTTCATAGGTATAGAGAACTCTCAACTGAGGAAACTCTTCCAATGTACCTTGCAGTTTATAGTCTAGGAGAGTTGCCTAGATTACTGAGAAGTTGAGTGATTTGTGTATAGAGATGAAACTTGAAGTCAGTTCTTCCTGACTTTGAGGCTAGCCTTCTAGCCACTGCACCATGATGCCTCTCTTGTACTTACATACTAACTTCTGATACTATTTTTTATTCATACAGCCAGTATCCCCAATTAAGTTTTAGGGTTCTTGAGGGCAGGAATAGTGTATAATTGTCTCAACTTTTATTTCCCACACATTTCACTTAGTACCTTGTACATAGGGGTGGGGAGAATATGTCTAATAAGCACCTGATGATTATAAAATAGGCCTAAAGTGAGGAAAGCAAATATAATTTAATCACAGGCTTAGAACTAGAAGTACCCATGGAGTTCATCTAGTACAAACTACTCATTTTATAGATTATGAAACAAAGGTCAGAGATATTAAGTAAATTACCCAGGAACATATGAAAAGTAAGTAAAAAATCTGTAATTTGAATCTAGGTTCTATGACCCCAAATCCAGAACTCTTTCCACTATATACAAGGCAGAGGGCTAGTAAGTGTCTGAGGCCTGATTTGAACTCAGATAATTCTTCCTAACTCCTGGTCTGGCCTCCATCCATCACACCTCCTAGTTGTACAATGATCAGGGACAAAACTTGAATTTAGGTCCCTACACTTCAGAGAGGGTAGCAAAGTAAAGAAGTGTTGCTGACTCAAGGTAAAGCATATGAGTTCAAATTTAGTCTTTGAGTAACTCTCTCTATGATATTGGACGTGATACTTAACTTCCTTGCAACTCAATTTCTTCATCTTTAAAATGAAGGAATTGCACTAAATGGTGTTTAAGGTTTCTTCCACTTCTATATCTACGATCTTATGATCCTATGACTTCCAGTCTCTTGTTCTTTCTGCTACTCTGTGGTGTCTCACTAGTAAAGTAAACGTGTTTTCCAAGTCTAAATACTGCCTAGTTCAGCAAGTCATTGTAGAGAGAGTCTAGTTTTCAGGTATTCTAAAAAAGCTTGAGGGAATGTCTTTGTGGAGAACAGAGGCTTGGTTTCAGGCATATTCACCTAGGCAGAAATAAGAATAAGGATGGATATATATAAGTAGCAATTCTGTGGGAAATAGTAATTGGGTAGTGCAACTGACAAAAATATACAAACTGTTCTTGAGGAAATTATGGGCCAAAAAGTCTTTGACTTAGGGTAGCCTGACTAATCTAGCATCTTAAAAGTCCTCTTTCAAGAATAGAACTGAAATCCCTGGAGATTTAATTTTATTACTAACATTATATGAATGACTTTACTTTCTCCTTGGGGTACAGGAGAGAGGGTTGGGGGGACATTTTGTTTTTTGTGTGTTTCTATCTTCATTACCAAGCAATACCTGACACATTCGTAGTAAGTACTCAGTAAACATGTATTGAATTGAACTAGAATAATAGTTGCTTTGAATAAATCTTGCTTTGGGATGATCAGAAATAGAGAACACAAGATGAATACTGGTGCTCTTGTATCAATTTATGCCCTCATTATGTGAAGTAAGCATGCATTTGAGTAACTAAATGTACCTAAAATTTATTCACTGAGAGATCTATACATTCTTTGAAGTCTGTTGTAATAAAGATGACAACCAAGCAAAATAACCCTTTTCAGAGCACATTCTTTTAGTCTATTTGTGAATTGAAGCTATTTGGCTAATAAGGTGATCAACAGATTGTATACTTAAGGTACAAAGCTAAAATTAAGATACATATTGCTTATGTTTGAGCTTTGTACAGGGAATATATTTCATATTCATATCCCTTTTATATATTGCTTTCTCACATTTCATCTTTGTGCTGTTTTGTGGTCATATGTTCAGATCATTCATATTTTATTTTAAAACATTTTCATTTTCAGATCCACAGTTGTGTGATCCTGGTGAATTTCTTTGCCATGATCATGTGACTTGTGTATCCCAGAGCTGGCTATGTGACGGGGACCCTGACTGCCCTGATGATTCGGATGAATCTTTAGACACCTGTAAGTAGAAAGGTTCTCATGACATTTTGATTTTCCATTATATGTAAAACTGGCTTGCAGTTGTTTCTGAGGACAGCTTTTTGGCGGACTATATGTATTCTCTTTTCTATGAATCACAAAATGAAGATGTTTTAATTTCCTTCATAGTGAGTAATCAATGGGGAATAATTTTTTTAGTACAGATTAACCCATGAAAATAAGAAAGTAACAAATAAATGCAGTGTTTTTAATGAAACAATTTTATTAGAAAAAATGCAAATAATTTGTGCATATGACAAGGGAAGCATTATGAGAAAAGCAGAAAGAAAAAACATGAGAAACAGTCAGTAGGCTTGACTAAAGCATGTTTCACAATTACATACCTTTTCTTTTGCTTTCTGGTTTAGGGCTATTAGCAAAAGAATTTTATTCTTGGAGACTGATTATTCTCACTATCTCTATTTATTAAAGTCTGTCATTAATTCTAGATGTCTCCTTCTTTTTACTGCTGTGGGAGAGATGAAGTAATAGTCTATATTGAGACTATCTCTACAATGACTTAAAAAGCGTACAATTATTTTTACTCCTTAGGATGGGGTAGTTAGGGATCATGCTCCAAGGGATAGAATAACTTCTGGAAATCAACCTTTGGTCTCTTCTTTGGGGTTATCTCTTTACCTTAGGAGACTTTGTACAAATAACTGAAAATATTTTATTTTAAACCTCTGAAATAAAAACATAACAGTGACTTGTCTAGAATTCAAAGTGATCGTATTACCCCTAGGGTTATTGGTATCATTAGTATCAAAGCTCCAGGGGTCTCTCCATATTCTTTGGTTGCAGCAGAAATGTGTGGTATTGAATGTTGTTAAAAATAATTGGGTCATGCGCTCAAATACTTCAATCCTCCTGCAATTCAGAATTATGTTTTAATGACACATTTAACTCATGAAGAACACTTGGAAGATCTTCTTGAGTTGAAATATAACTTTGGTGGAAATCATATAGATGTAGTTTACTTAATGAGAATTGTTTAGCCCTGTTTCTCAGCAGAAGTCATGAAGATGTGTCTGACTCCTCCCACACCCATAATTTATGTCTGTCATCCCTCAAAAATCACATGATAGCTGCCAGATACTTCCTCTAGGTCTAACTCAGTCAGGACATAGGACAATTTTTCTAGGGTCTTCAAGTTCATGAGGAGAAGAGTAAGAATATACACATCTATCTGTACAAGGCAACTGTGGCTAATTAATGAAACTGTAGCCTCACTCTACTGAGAGTGACTACTGCAGCTGTGCATGTAATGAGCCAGAGAGCACTTCAAAGCCATGCTGATTATCTCACATGGACCACCTTTCCATGCCTGCAAGGTTTTTCATAGAGCTGTGGCTCTGGGTGTTGATGTTTCAAATAAGTTCCTAACAGAATTGATCTTCTGGAAAAGTTAGTTTCTCTCCAATTGACCAATCCCATTTTTCCTCATGCTGTAATTCTATACATCCAGGAGAGCAATTTATTTGTCTTCCATGTGAATAGAAAAATAGGCCACTGTAGAACTTGACCAAGTTTCTATAGAAAATACTGTTTGAGAGCATCTGGATTAAGAATACTAATTTGGAGAATTTTCATCTTTTTTTCAGAGACATTTCAATCTTGCCTCTGCTTATAGACAAATGGACTTTTTTTTTTGGTCTGGGTTGGGATAGAATGGCTAGACACAGGTACAAGGGTGAGGCTGAATCTAAAAGCAGCTTCTTGGAGAATTCCATTATCAGGGCCTGGAGTAAGTGATGCTATATGGCCACAAACTAACACATTCCGGAGCCAAACCATATTTACCAAATTATACTTTTTCTAAGATATTTTCAAAATAACTCTGTACTAAGTCTTTTGTAATCCTGGGCAAGTCAGTGGGTATATCTGAGCCTCAATTTTCTCACCTAGAAGATAAAGTAATATTGGCATATATCTCACAGGGTTTCTTTGTTTTGTTTTTGGAGTTGTTGGGGTTTTTTTTTGTAACGATCAAAAGGGATAATGCGATAATGCTAAAAAGTGCTTTGAAAACCTTAAAGTGATTGATAAATGTCATTAAAAATGTTTAAACATCATTGTTAGTTTTCAAGTACTCTGGATTGAAACATGCCACAGACACAAAGCAATATTTGGTATGTTTATGTCATCTTGGGTGTTTTATTCTATTATATAACATTAAAAGTCCTCAGTCTTTTTAAAGATGGCATTCAGACTATAATGACACAATTGTGCATCAGTAATAAGGACTTATAAGTGCCACTTGTTCTCCTCATGCATATAACCAGGTCAAAAAAGGATGGGATCATTACAATATCTACTTTACCAGCATCATACAGCCATAATCTCAATAATGGTCTAACCTCAAATGTAGTCTGAAATGTAAAAAAGCATCTCTGAAAAAGAATAACATATATCCAGATTTAACTTTGTCAATCCAGATGTTCCCGATTAGCATTTATCTAATATGGGATTTCATGATGTGTTGTTTTATGAGAGACCTATGCAGCCAGTCAATAGCAATGCTCAATATAAAATAATTACATAATTCTATAGCTATAAAAAACCCATTTAACAAGGAGGGAAGAAAAAGAGCTAGAAATAGGGCACCTAGAATATTCTTTACTTAACATCTTTACATTGTGACCAGTGTGAGAGCTGAAGTGATCTCATATTTGCTCTTCAGACTTAATTGTTATTTCTACAAAAGATGAAGGGAAAATTGCTAACGAGAAGAATACATTTTCCTTTATATCCACTTAGCCTTTAATCATAAACAAAAATATTAAATAAGCACTTAGGATATTGTGAATACCATGAAAGGAAACCTCATAATTGAACATTAATGGATATTGGGAAGATAGTGGAAAGAGATTGCCTTTATATGACAAGGTATTAAAATTTTTTAATGGATGAGAAAGACAAACAAAGTCCTAGAAATGAACTCAAATTTCAGATATGAAAGAATCTGAGAATTTAAATTTTTCATTTATTTCTTTCCCCTCCCTCTATATTTTCTGTGTTTGTTTAGGTTTTGGATAGTAATGATTTTGTTCATTCCTAAAAGGGGTCATTTGATTTATGATACTAACAGAGGTGCCCAAAGCAGGGGTGAGGTGGATAGAGAAATGTTTTATATGATTATTTATAATGGGATAAAATAGTACTGATTGCTTGATGGAATGAGATATCAAAAATAAAAGATTCCGCCATTTATGTCCTCACTGTTAGATTTTAAAAGTGGTTAATCGGTCTTATATCTTCAATGGACATTCTTATATCTAAATAGCATTTTAATTTTGATTTGTTTTTTTTTTGTGAGGTGAAAGGGTGAGTGATAATATGAGTTGTTATAAGATGTGGACCACAGAGTATAAGGAAAATAGCACCCCTAAATGGTTTTAATCTTGTTATTGCAGTCTAGTGTAGTTAATATTTGATAAACCAAAAATAGGTGAAATATAACTTCAACTTTGAAATAAGTTTCTGGGTAGCTTTTTAGAATGAAAACTTGGAATCCCTGCTTTCTCTGATAAGTTTTCATGAGAGTTAGCTCTGCCACCTTTAATCCTCAGAATTTAACTGTTATTTTGATATCAGGTTGACTACTTGTGGTCAATTACCTTCTGGAAGTTATCTTAATTGAATCTAATAATAATAACAATAACAATACTAATAATAAAATACCCTTATACAATGACATTTGAAGGTTTTACCTAATGCTTCTCACTACAGCTCTGTAAGATTGTAAGTCAATGTGATATTTGAAGAGCATTAGATTCAAAGAACTAAGCGGAGGTATTATCTCTTTAACTAATAAATAAGCTGTATGGTCTTGGACAAGTCCCACCTTGCCTCTCTAAACCTCACTACCTTTATCTAGGAAACAGCAAAATAATAATGTTGCCCTACCTATCCATGAAAGGGCTGTTGTAAGGATCAAAGAAGATAATGTCTGTTTAACATTTTGTGAGTTATTTTTAGGTAGCATTGCATAGTGAGTTGAAAGATAGCCTTGTCCCTGTTACATTCTAGCTGGCTCTCTTGGTGTTTTAGGCAATTTTCTGAAACTATAAGTTGTAAAAAAAAGTTGAAAAACTATGACATTGGCATAGGGAGATTGCTTATTACATCAACGAAATCATGTCTTGATCAAACATTCATATAGCTATCTTCACCATTATACAGATGAGTCTTATGCCTAGTAAATGTGTGTTAGAATTCAAATCTATTTCATCTAATGATAGTCTTAATGTGCTTCCAATAGTTCGTTTCTTATAATATACTGGTGTTTTGTTTTTTATTTCATTTGAAATCACTAAGGCAGTAGACATCTCTTCCCTGGTGCACGTCTTTTCCCCTAGAAGTAATCCAGTGATCCAGTAATTCTTCAGGCACAGATTGTAATTGTTTCCGGAGGACTGAATAATTAAAGTAGAAGAAAGGTCCCTCCAAGAGCATAACAGAGTTAGCATATCCTGGAAAGTCATTGGGGAGATGTACAATTTGGTGAGATATACACATGTATGTATACATATGTAAACATTTCCACATGTGTGTAGGTATAGACATACCCACATAGGCATAATATATGTATATGTATGTGTGTGTTTGTATGTACGTATATGTGTATATAAACACATATGTTTGTACGTGTGTATATGTGTGTATATGTATATGTGCATGTGCATGAATATATGTATATATATTCAAATAAATATTTATTGAGAACTTTGGTTGTTCATTTACTAAATTTCACCTTGAATGCTTCCCTATTCTCCTACCGGTGAGTCATCCCATATAAAAATACTTTTAAAGAAAGAAAGACAATTCAGCAAAACCGATCAACGGCATCAAAAATTTGGATATGCAATGTTTCAAACCCATCTCTGAAATCCACCATCTCTGAAAAAGAGTAGAGGGAGGTGCCTTTTCACATCTCTGTCAGTCAATAAGTTAGCAAACATATTTTAAGTGCCTACTAT